TCTTATTAATGCCAATTTTTTACTTTTCATAAGTAGGTTCTTGAAGTCTTGTGGAGTTACACATTTCTATTTTCCTTTAAAAACGGTTCGTCACGTGTACCTTGTTCCATTCAACCACATCATTAATGTTCAACTTTGATCACTTTGATCACTTTTGAGTTCATCCGTTCAATGAATAGAGTCCTTTGAGTTTCTATGAATCTTTTCCTTTAAGGAAGCTTGTTTGATCCCGTTTCTAATGAATAATTTATTAAATGCATTGAAGAAGAGCAAACGAGAACAAATTTAAGTCTAGCCGCGAAACTAGAAATGTGGGAAAGGGTCTGTCACCACGCTTTTTTGGGGGGAACATGGCTATTTTTTACTCTTTTTGTGCCTCATTCATTGAATGAATGCTTGGGAACATTTGGGGAACAAAATCCATTTCGAATTTGTAACGTAATAACCAATTATACATATTTTCGAGAAATATGGAGACATACTTTGGCACTTGACACTTTGACTTCAGATCACTGGTATCCTTTTCTTTCTTCACTTTATTGTCTTCATATACTGCGATTGGTGGATGTCTTCTAGATTCTCTCATGCTTAATATTTCATTAATGATGAATCTATGATTATGCTGGAAACTCATGTGGACACTGCTGACACGTGGAAAAACGATAACACTTGCACGTTCAAAGGCACAAGAAGGCCATAGCAGCTGAGTCGTTGAAATTGATAAACGGCCATAGGGCATTCTTGCTTTGTAGCGAGCCTCATTTGGATTTCCGTGCTGATTACGAATTTCTGAATCAGGATAAAAATTCCGAAACAACTCGCTTCTTTGCGAATGGGGGAAAGAGGATGAGAGGAAGCGAATCCTTGGGGAATAAAACCTATATAAATTTGGTATTCGTATTCCAATGCGAATAACACGATGGGGATGTCTATCTCTCCCGTCCAAATGTCTTGAAAGCTTTATAACTGGGAAGCGGATTCTGATGCGCTAATAAGTTCTAAAACATCCATATGCATATTCCCTTCAAAATGTCAAAATATTCATGAAATATGCATGGATGCAGGAAAATATGGACATGCATGCTGTTTTTTTTTACGCATTACGAATTCTTCGGAAGAAGCCATTTCCAACAACATTCCATGCCTCTACTGAGTATAGTTGATACATTGCTGTCACAGCCAGCAGTAAAGCCAGGAACTCACCAATGGAGGGGTAAGAGAAATGAAGGTGGGCCAGGATTTCCAATACTTCTATGGAGTAGTGGGTGGATTAAGAGCAGAGATCGGGGGGTTCATCACCCCCCGCTACGCTGCTGGTCACAGCACATAACCGCTCAAAAATTTTCCTCAGAAGCTCATAAAAAATTTTTTTTTCCTGCAAAGCCCCTATTTTTCCCAGAAAAAGGCGAATATGCACATATATACGTAAATATGCACATGCTGAGGAAAACCTACAAATGTATGCGTTTTTATTCGTTTTTAAAATAGTAAAACCGCTTCCTCTACCAGTAATACATAATTCTACATGGGTTGTATATTTCTAGGAGGCTGCAGAAAAATATGGATTTACATAAAAATCCACTCCCAAGTTATACCTGCCCTTTATCCTCTCGCAAAGACCCAAATCATGTCGATAAGCAATTGTCAATGTTTATGAGCAACATCGAGACTGATCTTTACACAGAATTTAGATCTCTTCCCACCTTTAATTTTTTTCAAGACAACCGCCATAAGTAAAGTAAAGCATTGTATGATGAGTATTATATTGTCTTCTGAATAGTATTTAATTCCTGATGAATTGATAATGATTCTGGAAGGGCTTAAACACACCTTTGACACTTGGGCAAACAATGGCAGAAAGGGATTTCTTGCGTTGAAGGCACACGATGGCCAAAACAGCTGAGCTCATTGTATCGATGTACTGCCTTGAAGTCGATGAAGCTTGCAAGAATCTGGGAAGCTGTTCACCTAGGTTACTTGCTTTTGTTCTGTAAAATGGTACCATTTCTAGGAAACAGCCATTCGACGAAAGGCCTCCTGCAAAACGACATCTGTGAAACGCCCCCGACCCCCAAAAAGGGAGTTTTTAATTCTTGAAGCTTGAGAGAATCTGGGTACAAGCCTTATTGCGACAACATGCTGACAGAGTAACTGATACTTGAATTGTATGGTTTTACTCTCGTGATTGTTTATTTTATGACTTCCCCAGTGGGGAATTCAAGAATTTCAGTGAGCATTCTTGACAGTCTGCGATGAGTAGTGATAGCGGAAGGGTTCGGTCTATCCTTTTCCAAGAAGCACAAAATAGGCACTTCTTACATCTCCGTGTCCGATTCATCGAACCAAGACTCTGTAATAGTCCATTTATTCAAGAAATTATTGATGGCATACATCAAAACGAGATTCATTCCTCGAAAGTTGAATACTTTTTCAGATGGATTCGCCGCGCAGTACGAAAATGACGAAAATGTACGAAATGTACGAAATAATTTTGCGAACACTGCTTGGCGTCAATAAAAATATGGAATGCCTACAAAATGGCATTGCTTTCGCAGCTTCCCGCGGCAAGGGCCCATGTCACCGATTAGGTGGGACACTGAAGCGACCTGGCACAAAGGCAATTCTGCAGAGACCGAGGAGTGATCATATAACGTTTCCTTTTACAGCTGTATACTTCGGCAACAGACAATGTTTATGCGATTAACTTCGTCTTCTGCCTGAGGGAAGAATTTGCCATTCACGGATATATGCTTCGAGAGCGTTTTAATGCGGCACCACTAGCAGCAAGTACTCAAACATTGCATGCTTTTCTATCGCCTGACAGACCAAGTAAACCAAGACCTAGAAGTACCATAATAAGAACGCTATCAACAAATTAACATAATATAAATTATACAGTTGAACCCGTTTCATAGGTCATATTGAGGCAAGGCCACAACCGACCAATAAGCGGAAATGGAATAAATGAAATGCTCTTTCATGTGACATACCTAGTCCTGCCATAAATACTGTTACAAGGTTTTTTTTATAATAACTCTTTTCATATAAAACATAAGCTGTATTTGCTAACAGCATTTATTTCCCTACATGATTACTAACATATTACAGAAACATTATTCAAAATATCCACCCCTGGCCTTCACACATGATTTTAAACGATCAGACCACTCATCCATCGCAGTACGCACCACTTCCATTGGATATTGGCTGCTGATTTTGCAAGGGCTTGCTTGAGACTTTCAATATTTGGATATCTTCTGTGGTTGGTCATCAGCTCCATCAAGGGCTCGCTTGAGACTTTCAATATTTGGATGTCTTCTGTGGTTGGTCATCAGCTCCAACTTTGCCCGTAGTTTGTTGTCCAGTGGGTTCCCAGATGGCCAATCGGAGGCCTTGATGAACTTGGGGACATTGCTGGCTAGCCAGTGAGCTAGCTAGCTAGTCAGTGCTGGTGACCTCTCTTCACCTTATGGGTGACTTCTGCAGCTTCCCAAGAATTGTGGGCATACACTTGACCATTTGGCCAGTTGAATTTTTCTTCAACAGTGAATATTTTCTCATCAGTAAAGACAATTTTATGGTGTCTGCTTTGCGCGTACCTCTGCAGCAACACTTTCGGTTGCGACCTGATTTCTTTCAGAGATGGAGTCAGCATGTGTCCTGTGCTTCTTTGGTAAGCACACATCCTTAGGTCTGATTTAATCAACCGATGCGTGCTTTTAGTCGAGATGGCTATTTCCCTGGACATCACTTTCTACTTGCATGGAGGATTTCACTGAATCCTATTGCTAACTTCTTTGATGACTCGTGGTGTTCTGGCGGTGGGTGGACGTCCAGATCTAGGGCGATCTCGTACTCCCTGAGTATCATTGTAACATTTGATAGCACGATAAACAAACTGCCGACTGAATCCAAGTGGCTGCAAAGTCTTGAAATGATAACAGGTTTCTGACCCACTTTGTGCAGGGCAATCATTGCTATGCGATTCTCTTTGTCACCCCACTCCATCTTTACTGCATGCAACACAACAGCCAAAATGTTACCAAACAATACGGCAGATAATACACTGCACGATTAGTAGGTTACAAGTTTCTAGCTTCTTACGCTAGAATGCAAGGAACATGTAAATCATGTAACTGTATTTATGGCAGAACTAGGTACGTGCCCAAGGTGCAACACAAGCTTCTGCCCTTGACACCCCAGACTACAATGGATACATGTAGTCTGGGGTTGATGTCGCAAAAAAGTTCATTCTTAAAATAATATTAAAGGTTTTCTTGCGGAAAGGAAGGTAAGCAAAAGCAAAAAGGAAAAGTGTGAAAGTCTAGATAGGATAGTTTAATCACTCCTTATTGGCATATCCTTCCCTCAGAATAGTGTGCAACAACTATGTAACATGTAACTACAAACTTTCACAATGATGGGTGCCAAATCTCTCCAGGCATATATTATTATTATATTAAGGGTACTCAAACGTGTAAGTGGTAACGTCCACTAATGACATCTGTGAAGTATGGTGATCTGAAAGTAATCCAAGTGAATGAATCCGCACTATAGGATTCAAAAGTGTCAAAGATATTTCAAATTTTAGGATTAGCTATAAAAAAAAAAAAGAATTCGCTCAGAAGGGGGAACAGAGTGATGACTAAAGAGGACTAAGAAACGAGGCTAAAGATTGTGATAGGTACAAATTGATTCAATATTTTTATCTCAAAGAGTGCTAAGGTCAGATGATGACTTCATGTGGTCAAGCAGACCATAGAAAAACAATAGCCCATGCATTTTAGCAATGCCCAATCCACCTACCAAATACTTTTAAAGATGTCAAAAAATATGAAAAGTCACAGTCAGAGGCCTTTTCCTTTTCACAAAAGGTCTCTCTGAAGACATTCTGCTTCCAACGCGATGGGGAAATATATGTTTAAGCATCACGTTCCTCCAAGGAGAAGCTTTCTTCAAGAAGTTCCATCGATTTCCAAATTCGTCCCAATAAAAACTCATTTAAAAAAATCATCAATCACGTTGTGTATTTGGAAAGCGAACACTAAAATTATCACATGATGAAAAATGACTGTAGCTCTGGTGCATCATCACATTTGGCACAATTTCCACTGTCAACATCAGAAGCAAAATTCATTCCGTGAAATAAAATCACACACGTTCACCGTCGAAAAAGGAGGAAAAAGCCGACTCAGAACCCGTAACGGTTGAGTATCTCCTGAATCGAGTCGAATCGTTCCAAATACCTCGACAACCGCCCGTCTCGAGACGGTATCGGAGATCTGCGAGAAAAACATGGAAGAGATACGCATGACACACACGCGGATGTGATCTCTCGTCTCGGATCCATCCGAGAGAACCATCACTCACGGAGGTAATCCCTGCGAGGACGGAAAGAGATTGCGACGGCTGGAACTCCCTCGACCCCCATTCGGACGTGCATTGGAACTGTCTCGCGTCGGCGGAGTGGATCCAAATCCGTAAACGCTCAGCACCCCCCCCTCACTCCCATTTCCTCCGGTCGCTACAAAAAAAAAAAAAAACACGACTCGCGTTTCACGGCCACGCTCCACACACACACACACCTCCCTCCACCACCGAACCTCCCGAACCCAACTCACCGATCGTCCTTTCCGGAGGTCTCCGTCCGTTGAGAACGTTCACGGCCGTGTTGGACGCCGTCCTCCTCTTCCCCGCCCAGTGCCTCACCAGGATCTTCATGCGAAACATCGCCACGCACACGTACGCCGCCCCCCTGCCGACATCCAACCGTCAGACCTCCACCCTCCTCGACGGCCCTCCCTCCCTCCCTCTCTCTCTCTCACCTGAACCTGAAGAGCGGATTCCGTCGCCTCGCATCCCCTCGCGGCGAATGCAGCGCCCGCGGCAGGGCCTCGGAGCCCACGACCGGCGCGAGGCTGTCGATGCGCTCCAGCGCCAACGCCTCCGTCTCTTGGTAATCGCACAGCAGCTGCAAGAGGTACTTCTTCTGCCACGCCAGCGCGCGACGGTAACTCTCGGCCCGTTGACATCGAAACAGGAGGAAGCTCACCTGAATGGAGTATGCGATTCTCGTGGAACGAGGCACATGAGACCAACCGTGTTACGATGCCGGACGTTATCGAAGGAACGCCTTCCAAGATTTCCTCTCTTTTGCTCGTTCCACATATTTTTCCACGATACGACATCGACTACATTTGCTCTTCTATTTTTTTTTCCTCGCCAAAAAATATCAGTCTCGAATGCTGAAGCTTCATGTAGACGAAATATAGAGCATTAGGCGAAAGATCACTTTTTCTCTCAAAGGAGATCATGATATATTCAGGGCCGTTAACTAAGTTACAAATTTTCAGCCTTGATCATTTCAACGACGCGCCTGTCTTACTGCAGTCGGAAAAGCTGAAAAAGGTTTTCGTTTCCAGACAAGGGATGGGGCATGTTTTGCCGATATTTATGTCAGCGTTCGTGTACCATCTCGATGAGTATAGTGCTGCAGTGAGGCCCAATGGATTCCGTTTATGAATCCGCTCGATAACGACGATGTGCTCTCGTCGTCGCATGGGAGGAATAAACATAGGTTCTGGGCTTAATCCCTTTGAAGAATATGTCGATTAGAACTTCCGCGTGAGATACCAATTTGGAAAGGGATCAGGGTATGATGTCGACCTGCTTCGCGCTCAACTCGAATGGAACGAAGATCGTGGAAGGGATCCCTTAACTTTACATCGACAGATAAGAGCAATCACTGTTCGTGTGCAATGAATTGTGATTTGTTCAAGTACCCATCCCCTGAGTAACTAATTAATATCACTCGAAAGTAAAGAGAGTATCATGAAAGTCTTTCGATTTGCAGGCAATGCTGACCCTTCGATTTTTTGTGGCGTCGGTTCCTAGAAATGGAATGGCGCAAGCTATTGCCCATTTGCCTCAATCATTACATTTCTAGGAGGAAAAACGGATTTTGTTCGAAGATAATTATTTGATATTGTCAGATTTCCAGGAGTGATCGGTGTCATCGACGATGGTCGTACTCGAATAGAATGCCCAGACAACTTTTATCAATCGCAAATGCTTCTATTTCATGGATGTCCAAAGCAGTGCGCGTTGTCGAAATGATTTTTTTACTGATGTTGTCATTACGTGACCGGGATCCAAGCGCGATTCTCGAATATCCTCATATTGCTTTCGTACCGAAATTATACTATGTTTCACATTTCCGACTTCTCCGTGTGTCCAAAAGGAATCCTTCGCTTTACTTCTGATGTATGGAAATACAGAGTAAGGTCAGAGACCTAAATAACTTCCAGGCATGATAATCGTTGAGCAATGTGCATCTCTATCCGGAGATTCTCCTTTACAAGCTGTGTGAGATATACTTAACCCTTTGATTGTTATAACACATGGGGATGGCCGATACGTTTTCGTATAAAAATTGGCCCTGCTTGTTTAAAAACAATAGATTATTTAAGATAATTTTAGTCATGATAACTGTTGAAGGTAGCTGTTACATGGCCTCATGAATAAAAGATCACGCTGTACTTTCTGAGAAGCATATAACACGAATAGTTTTGAATCGATTAGCTGCACCTATCGCTTTGTCCTAAAGAGATTAGAAGACCAGAGTATGTTATCATCTTACTAAATCTAAGGTAGAGTATAATATAGTGCACGAAACGCATGGAAGATCCGGCAGGAAAAAATTCAATGATCATAATCTGATAATGTCAATCTGATAATTCAGTCTTGGTCGAGCGTTCGTAGCGTGAGGACGTGTT